TCAGTCCAAAGTTGCGGTCTCGTACGACCCCCCTCTGCGAGAAATGAATCCTGCCCTTCAGGGCCTTGCTGCGATTCTCGAAGATAGCGCAAGTGATGAGCTTATTTGATGACTGTTTGAGCCCCAGAGGGCGAGTTTGATCCGCAGCTCGAGACACACCATCAGAGTCTTGTTCATCCTCCCCTTTGGCAACGAAGACCCCCCTGACGTGGTTGAACGACGGTGACATGGCCCTCCCACTAAGTAACCACCACATCCCTTCGTCAGGAATACTGAGCCCCGCGGGTTGCCGTTTCCAAGCCCTGCATGGGGGCCCGCCAAGACCCGGGGCGCTGTCTTCGGATCTCTCATGACGAGCTTCCAATTGGCGAAGAGAAGGAGGAGGGAGGTCAGAAATATCGATATCAGAAACACGATGATGAAGATAAGCTTGCGCAGCATGAACGCTCATCTCTTTCCTGGCGAAGACAGGCTGCCACTGGTTGGCCAGCGGCGAGAGAGCAGCACCAGGCTCGGCGACAACAGACTGGCCGCCCGCTGCCCTGATCCGCTGCAGGGACATCCTGCGCCCAAAGGGGCTCCAGAGTCTACTTCGTCGAATCGTACTTTACAGTTTCCTTCTGGCTTTCGTTCTCGTAATCTCGTCGGTCGCGTCTGAGATGGCCCCCCTAAGGGCCGCCTGTTTCTGCGTCGAAATCTACTCGTGGATCGAGTTCGAACGACGATGAAACTCAGGGGCGCCGATCAACTCCACTGCCCCCTCCAGCGGGGCGATCCGAAGGAAGAGCTTGCCGAAATCGCGAGACCTCCAAAGCTGCTGGGCATGCCGCGCATCCTGCCGCCAGATTGCTCGACCGATCCCTTTGATCATCGCCGAACGCGCGAAGAGGGAGACGGGCGTCTTGGAGATGAGGCTCTCGCGGGCGACCTTCGCCGCTTCGCGCATCATCTGGGTCTGAAATTCCAGCCGCAGCGGCGGGGTGAGCCTACTCTGATCACAAACCTCTTCAATTTTCACCAGGAGATGCCGGTATTCGGGCCGATCGCAAACCTCTGGAGGAACAGGGCGCTCGCTGTCAGGAACAGGTTTCCCAAGGCAAACAACAGCCCGAACAGGTCCATGATCAGAGATCCCTTTGCGGTTCAGTAGTTCGGGGGGCTCCACCACCACGCCTGCAAGACTCATCTGCGTGCGCAGCCACCCAGGGAGCGAGACGAATTGCCGATCGATGTAGGTGAGCATCCGCTTGGGGGCGAAGTGATGGGAGGGCTCGGGGACCTCGACCTCGACCATTTCCCCAAGGGCTTCCATGGGGGTCCTGTCCTGGGGGGCTCGCCAATCCTGAAGATATCGACGCGGGGGCACGCGTGCAAAATTGAAGTCCCCGCTGACCGGGGCCAGGGACCTGGCGGGGTTCGCCTGTGCCTCCTCCAGATCAGCCAAGATAAGTTCTGCTAGTAGTTCTTTATATTCACGGAAGAGCTTATAGTTATGACTGTTGTAGTGGGCCAGCTGGGACCCACCTTCCATGGCCAGTGCAATTCGCACAGCGCGTCCTGGAAGGATTTGTCGAGCGCAAACCTCTGGGCCGTGGTCTCCGAGAAAATGAAAACTGGGGAGGAACGTGACAACACCACCAGCCTGCTCATTCGAGCAGAAGGAAGCGCACGCCTGGAACTCCAGGCGATTGTTATACAACAAGTCCTGAATCCCGAGGAGGGTACCATGACTCTCTTGGACTGCTACAGCGGCGCCTTTGGTGAGGAGACGTCGGAGGAGGGCGCGCTTGGGCTCGCGTCGGGGAACATAATGATGGAAGAGGACTCGGGCGTTCCAAGTAGTCAGAATAAGGGGCCATTCTTCCGATCGTGGACCTCTCCACCATCTAAGAATACTGCTAAATAGACCACTGCGGCACCACCGCGGGTTGCAAACTGGCCTCGGACAGCCTCTGAACGCTCTCCTTGTCGATCCCCAGCTCCACCAAGTTGGGCACGCACTACTCGACCTTGGGAGCTTCATCGCCAGGCACGGGGGCGGTGCGTGCCAAGGGCTTGCAGCTCGCCGAGATCTCGCCTTTCGCTTTGTCCGAAAAGTACCTGCCCCCGCTGGCCACGCTCTCGAAGGCGCGGCGCAATAACTTGAGGCCCAGTTCCCTCTTGACCATCGCCGGGTTCTTGTCGGTGCTGATGAAGAGCTCCGTCCTGGTGCCGTCAATGGCAGGGGCCGCGTGTCTCTCCCAGTCACCGTTGGCGAACCTGAGAGCACCGATCGCCTGCGCCACCTTCCGCTGGGCAAAGGCGGGGTTCCCGCGGACCCTGACCACGAAGCGCTTGCCCGCAGGTCAAAGGAGAAGGTGTAGTCCTCCTTGCTGGTCTGTGATATTTCCAGCCACGCGCCGATGCTGGCTTCGACGTCCTTGGCTGCGGCAACTGCTTTGCTGCGGATGGCCAAGATACAAGGGTCCACATGCCTGTTGAACGAGGAATCCTGCACGACAGCCGTCGGCTCCTCGGCTTCGATACAGTGAAGTTGCTGAAGCTCGGCCACTTGGCGCTCCAGCGCGCTGACCCTGAGCTGAGTGTGGTCCTGCTGCGCTTGCATGTCGGCGAATCGAGTCTCAACCTGCTGGCTGATGTTGTCGCACGACTTGGCCACTCCTGCGCCGGACTCCGTGACATTGGTCTGCAACTTGGCAACCGCATCGAGCAGCTCGTTGCGGGTGTCGGTGGCGAAGGAGCGAAGCGCGGCCACAGCGGCCAGAGCGTCACCATCTTCGCTGCCCTTGGCCTTCTTGTGGGGTCTGCCACCAGGTGGGGACTGGCTCCCGCCTGTGCCTTCCTGAGATGGGAAGGTGGCAATGGAATCGTAAGCAGCATCAAGAGAAGCCATCGAAGCCCCATCAGCGTCATGGGCCATGCTGCTCCGAAGGAGCAGGAATGGCGGAATCGGAGGGAAAAGGGAAATGTCCGCCAGCGTACGACACGCTGGATGGCCTGGAGGGGCTGTCCGCTCGCCGTGGGGGTCTCTGGTCCCCACCTTGAGCCAAAATGGCAACGGACCTCCTCCTCCTCCTCCTCCTCCTCCTCCTCCTCCTCCTCATCATCATCATCATCATCATCATCAGCATCGTCATAATAAGCATCATCACCATCATCGTGATCATCATCATCATCATCATCATCATCATCATCATCATCATCATCATCATGGGCATCGTCATCAACATCAACATCATCATCACCATCACCATCGTCATCCTCATATTCATCATTACAAGCATCAGCATCAGTACCAACATCACCATCACAATGACCATCATCATCATCATCATCATCATCGCCATCACCATCACCATCATCATCATCATCATCATCATCATCACCGTCACCACCATCATCGTCACCACCACCATCACCATCATCACCATCAGCATCATCAGCACTATCAGCACTAACGTCATCATCCTCATCACCATCAGCATCATAATCATCAGCACCATCATCTGCTTATCAGCAGCTCATCGTCATCACCACCACCACCACCGTCATCAGCATTATCATCAGCATTAGAAACATGATCGACATCGACATCAGCACGAGCATCACCATCGGCATAATCATGATCATCATCACCATCACCATCATAATCCCCACCATCATCATCCTCATCGTCATCATCATCGTGATCGTCATCGTCATCGTCATCGTCATCGTCATCATCAACACCATCTTCATAATCTTCAGAAGCATCATTGTCATCATCGTCGCCGGTATCATCACCATCGCCACTGTCATCTACATCAACATCAACATCAACAGCCCCTCCCATATCGCTAACTGAGCCTCCTCCTCCTGCTCATCCTCGTCTTCATCGTCGTCATATTCATCATCACCATCACCACCATCATCATCATCACCATCGTTAACATCATCGTCATCGTCGTCATCATAACCGTCATCATCATCAGCGTCATCATCACCATTATCGGCAGCAGCAGCATCGTTAACACAACCATCGCCACTATCGTCATCATGAACATCAGCATGAACACACCATCCCACCTCGCTACCTCCTCATCCTCATCCTCCTCATCTTCATCATCATCACCACCATCACCATCACCATCATCATCAACACCATCAGCATCACCACCACCACCATCATCACTATCATCTTCACCATCAACAACATCATCATCACCACCATCATCATCATCACCGAGAATCACCATCATCAGCATCATCGGCATTATCATCATTGTCGTCGTCATCATCGTCATCATCATCATCAGCATCAGTTTCATCATCATCATCACCATCGTCATCATTAGCATCATCAGCAGCAGCAGGAGCATCGTTATCACCACCATCACATATACCATCAGCATCATCATCAGCAGCAGCTTCATCATCAACATCAACATCAACACCCCCTCCCACCTCCCTACCTCCTCCTGCTCCTCCTCCTCCTGCTCCTCCTCATCCTCCTCATCACCACCACCAACATCATCATCATCATCATCCTCACCACCACCATCATCATCACCACCACCACCACCACCACCATCATCATCATCATCATCAGCATCATCATCATCATCATCATCAGCAGCATCATCATCATCATCAACATCATCACCACCATCATCACCCTCCCGATTCCTCCCTCCTTCTCCTTCACCCCGATAATTCCCGTCCTCCTTCCCCTACAGGGCCTGAGTATCCTCCTCGACCAACGATCCCACCACCAGCAGACGAGGGATTGCCTGTCACCGAGATGAGGTGTTACGGACCGTGGGTGTCCCTGGTGTAATCAGGAAACCCAATACCGAGTTCGCGAGCTCCAGCTGAGGCTCGACATCCGAAGCTTCCAGCGGCCCCGCACCCGAGAAGCCCAGAGATCCCACACGACTGAACCTCATCCTGGCAGCTCAGAACCTGAGAGCATGCGAACCTGACCACGCTAGGAGACCAGAAAGGACAACAAAGGGCGGCACCTCCATGGCGTTGCTCACGTTCACCCGCGAGGTCAGCCCTTCGACCCGGACTCTTATATCACAACGACACGCAAGACACCCCTGGCAATCCCCCTTCTGGGCGCCCGTGCGGCGCGCCCCCCGAGTGGCCGATCGCCGACCGCCGATCGCAACAACACTATCGCGCGGCCCAGCCCCGGCCCGCGGATCGCATCGACCGCCGCGCCGCTCGCTTCCTTGGTGTGGGCGGCGGCGGTGTCGGGAGCGTCTAAGAGAGGGGCGTCCAAGAGGGAGGAGTGGCAAATCATGGCCCGAGGCATGCGCGCGGCCCTGGGGGGGGAGGCGCCAAAGGACGTACTGAAAGAAGAAGGGGCCATGAGATTGGTGGAGATGTCATGGCCCAGGCCATGATATCCAACCCCCCTTGGTCATCACCCCGCTCCCTGGACGCCCGCCGAGTTGGGCACGGTGATCAGGCGCGGCTGGGCGAGGGCAGGGCGCACTCGTGAAAGCTTGGCCGATGCGGGAGGGCAAAGACGGGGGCGGAAGAAACATGGGGGGGAGCTCTGTTGCGGCCCTACATCTCGAGATCTAGTCCAAAAACATGTCGACGCAGCAGCACAATGGCAGTTCGAGCTTCTCTCGGATAGTAAACCGATCTCGGCGCCCTAGAGGTTGCAGACTGCTGCTCTCGACGAACCCGATCGAATGGCATGCCTAAGAGCTCTGGAGGTGGCGGGCAGAGAGAACCGGCAAGAAGGCCTGGGGAGGGCAGTCAGTCAGGCACGGGGTGCGGGCCCCAAGAGCATACACCACCATTGCCTCCCTTCCCCCACCCTCCTCCACCCCAGACATACGATGTAGTGGTGCTTGTTCAGCACTGGGTCCTCAGTCCCGAACCTTTCTCCAAGACCAGCTTTTCATCCAGAGTCGTCTTCTGACGGCCCTGGAGGCCCCAGAGGTCCAGGGGACGGCCAAATGCCTCGCGTTCGCGTCTACGACGCGAGCCCCCTCTGCGGTGTTTGGGGGGGGGGCGGAACCAGGGATCGGCCCACCGAGGGGGCGCGGTCGTGGCCAGAGACACGCCGCGGCCCTTGTGACCGAGCCTCTTACATCAGGCGTGCACGCTTGGCTTTGCAGGCTTTGCAGGGCTTGATGGGGTCCCCTGAGGGCCAACACTTGGCCGAAACATTCAAGGGCTGACACTTAGCCAACCTGCGCAAAGCCTCCCGACCACTGTCAGTGCCCACACCACCTGGACAAGGGACGGGGAGTTGGTTGAGCTCGCCACCTCCAGTGTTCGTGCAACTGCTCGCACACTTCGTACACCAAAGTTGACCATTCATGATGTGCACCGAATAAGTCGGGTGTACCGTCTTACCTCCAACTGTAAGAGAGGGGTATGCTGAGGGCGGAATCGGCAGAGGCACATTATAACATGAAACAAACGCTCTTCCTTTACACCGGTGATATTGCATCCAGCGTTAGACGGCCTGTCGTGTTGGGCCGAGCTTACGATGGAAACAAAACCAACGGGTCCATAAGTTATGGACCCGTTGCAGGAGAGATTCATAGTCTTTCAAAGAATCGAATTGGGACTGGATTAGGTTCAGGGCTTTCGCGAGGCCTCTCTAGGCCAGAGCGTCAGCTCTTTCATTGCCGAAAGAAACATACCAGGGCTGGGAGGCAAACCTTCGGCTCACGGCGTCAAGGTGAGAGCTGCATTTCTTCACGCAGACGATGGAGATCCTGTCGGGCCTCTGGAGGATAGCCTGCTTGATCCGCTGCCACCACTGCTGATGGGGGCCTCGAGGATAGAGCCACACTCTGGAATTCCAACCGCGGTAAGCCAAGGCATTGTCGGTCCAGATCTCGAAGGGCCCCTGGGTGTAGAGGAAACAGTAATACAAAGAAGCCAGCTCAGCACAAGAAACAATTTGTTGACCATCGATGGAACCGTAAAACCCTGGGAATCGATCATCGACTGGAGTCTCGTTAATGTCGAAGGCTACCTCCCACCCACCACGGGCGATACGAGCATCTGCTGATTTGACCGAGCCGTCGAGGTAGGCCCTGTGGGCCTGAATCGGGTTGCCCCTGATGATGGAGTAGCTTTCGAACGTCGGGACCTGGACGGGCATGTCAACATCGTACACGGTCTGGATTTCATTCCACTCGGGAGCCTCTGGAACCTCATTGAGCCTTGCGGGCAAGATACCTCTGCACCAAAACATCTTCATGTCGGGCTCGGCACTCATGGATTGGACGGCTCTGTTCTTGAGGTCCTGGGTGCGGCGGATCCATTCATGGTCGATGTCATCGTTTTTCTCGCACCGGTAGCGTCTGTGCAGTAAGCTCCCAGCTGCCTTTCCACAGCGCGGGCGCACGGCTGGGCAATCGTAGCCCGCGGTGGAGGTGCGCTGAGCAGTCCAACAACTGCCTGTGACGATGTTATCCAAGGCTCCAGCCTCCTTGAAGAACTTCTTGTGCTGCATCCAGCGCAAAGCGCGCTGCGTCGCTTGTAGATGTCAACCTTGTTCGCCACCGAAAACTTCAGGGCGTTGGCCAGCTTGCTTCCACAGGCCGGCTGTGATTCGAGCGTGAACGGTGACGAAGCTGCCAACCGATCTCGCCCATGCCGACGATCAGGGCGCCCGTGGGTCCTGTGGCGGAGCGCCATTTGGACTTGGCACGAACCTTAGCCATGCCGTCAACGACGGCCTGCCATCCGGGGCGGAGCCAGGGAGGTGGGGGGAGGGGGGGCGAGGGAGGGGGAGCGAGGGAGGTGGGTGGTGGTGGCGGCGGCGCGAGGAAATGGGGGCGAGGGAGGGGGGCGAGGGAGGGAAGGCGGCGGCGCAAGGGAAGTGGGCCCCGCAGGCCCCCCAACCCACGCTCCGCGCCGCGCGGGAGACAGGGAGAGCGCGAGGGGGCTTCGCCCCCTCGCGCCGCCCCAGCCTGGACCACGGAACAACGCGGAGGCTTGGCGGCGAGCAAAAGACGGTAGGGAGCGGGGGGGGGAGTTTTTTTAAAGGAGGCCGCTTCCTAAGAGGAGTCGGCCCTACATCCCTGCTTCGAGTTAAGGGAAATCATGAACAAAGAAAAATGCTTTCGCTCCACGCGTTGTCGTAAGAAAAGGTCCAAGTCCACGCGTGCGAAAGGTTCCACGGGAAAAAGTTGCTCCGAGAAACCGCTCAGGGCCCAGCCTAGGCTATTCATTGTCTTAAGGGAAATCTGGAGACCATGAAACTTGCTTTTCTTCGGACTTCTGATGGGTGCACATCTACAAACAAGGCCCGCGCCTTCCAAAAAGCAGGGGTGCGTCTGAAAAGCGCCCCCCCCCCCCTACCCCCTTCTGCGCGCGGCTGGAAGGCGCGGCCGCCCGAGCTCGCCCCCGCGGGGGGCGCGCAGCCCTCAAGTGGGAGATCGACTGCAGGATGGGTGTACCCCGGAAGTGTTATTTCGACGAACCCACGGGAAAGAAATGCGCAAAAACGGAGTGGAGTACAAGTCCCACTAGCAAGCTGCGTCCTCTAGTACACCCCATCTGAAGCGCCCCTGAAAATGAGCCACGCACATCCACCATTGGATAGATACCGAAGCCGTAGCCATGTACACAAGAACCTCCGAACCCATTGAGGCCACATCCTGTTTCCAGCCTCACTATACCCAGAGGTAGTGTCGCCAGTAGTAAGGCTGAGACGACGAGCTCCGCGCCGTACCTCATCGGCCCCAGGCTTTGCTCCACCATTCCGGCATCGGTTGCAACTCGTCCAAGAACTTGCGGTCGTCGGCGGATATCGCTCCGTCGCTGCCCGGCCAGCGTTTCTCTCCGAAAAAAACGGGGGTCAGCGGGCGTTTGGCCTGGTGAATGCGGCAATGGCACTTGCACTTTCGCTGGCTCTTCTGCAGTGCTTTGCGCAGGTGGCGCACTCTTTCTTCGACGTCAGCGACGCACTCCTTGCACTGTAGCCTCATGCGATTGTGATGCTTGTGGTTCCTCAGTAGCGTTTGGTTGAACTTACGGGCGCCGAACCTGCAAGTGCACCTCTGGCACATGTACGTCTCCAGATCCGTCGGGTCGAATCCTAGCGCACGGCATGCTTTGCAGACCAAAGTTGTGCCCTGAGAAGACGCGTGATTCTTGCGTTCAGACTTCGACCAGTACTTCAGCGCATAAGCCGTTGTACACTTTCCGCGCCGCAGCTTCGTCTGACAGTCCAGGCACACCAAACGGGCCTTCTCCCGCCTCGTCGCATTGTACAGCAGTTGCTTGTCGAACGCGAGGCTGCCCAAGTGCTCCAGAAACTGTTGAGATTTCCATGCTGAGATTTCCAACTCTGCACTGGCCCAGAAACGAGTTGCACCATGCATCGTCACACCTCATCAATTCGGTCAACTGCCAGAAAGATCGCACGCTGTCGACGCCGTCTTGCCAGAACAGCTCCAACGCGCGGTGCGCGCACCCTGCGGGCACGCCCAGAGGGTTGGATGCCAGGAAAGTGCCCGTCACAGGGTGCAACTGCCAAAAATCAGCGCACATGGCATTTTGAAATGCCAAGCACGCGAAGTGAACGCCGTGCTCCCAACTGAGACCTTCCTCCATTAAGTACCGCATCCAGCCAATGACGGCACTTTTTTCCGGTGCCCGGAAATCCGTGCACTACGTCCAGCAGAGGCTCCTCGGAATTCTGGTTCACGTTGCCCTGCTGCTTCTCCAGCCACTCAATCTTCAAACGTCGAACAAAGTGCTCGAGAAACTGGCGCTGTTTCTCGTTCGGGACCTTCGAGCTCGCCAATATGGAAGCAAACGCTTTGTCGATGCTGGTGAAGCCATTCCCTGCAGAGTTGAACGAAGCAGCAGCATCTCGCTTCTCGTCGAAGGGAGCATCGTGTGCCTTCTGGCTCGTGCCACTTGCGGATAGAGCTGCGAGGTGGTCCTCGGCGCAATCTTTCTTCGGCGCAGCCGTTACGACATGAAGCGTTCCGCTCCGATAGGCGGTGTCCAAGATATCTGGGCGAACGTGCGGGCTAGCAATGCGAATGTCTCGACAGCCTGCGC